GAAGAAGAAGAAGAAGAAGAAGAAGAAGAAGAAGAAGAAGAAGAAGAAGAAGACCACTGCAGCAGCAGAAGTAACACATTACAAACAATTAGAAACAATTGAATTCGTCAAAAGAAATTTAACACTGGCTCAAATTTCGTTACAACACTTTCTCTTTAAAAAAAAAGCAATATAGTTCCATCAAGGCGAAGTAAATTGCTTCACATAAATTTATTATGTGGTATGAATGTAACAATAACAGAAATTTGACATATTCATAATGCAGCTTTGATGCGTTACAGCTGACGCTTGGTATAAAATATAATAAATAATGCATAAGTCATGGAATTGCATGATGCAATGAGACAAAGGATTTATTGCATCGTCGTATTTTAATGTACACAATGAAGTGTTAAATAACAGTCATGTTAAATAAAATCAATATTACCTTAATGAAATGTATTGATAACAAGTATTGATTAAAGACAGAGACTGCAATTTGATACAAAAATATGGATTAATATAACATCTACAATGGTTTATAGCGTAATCAGATTTCAAAACAAAATCTTACAATTATACTGCATTTTGTTCCTTGAGCCCGTGTGGATTTTCTAGGATCCTTTGTCTGTTTTCTCTGTTCATCTCGTGCTTCTTCTTCGATTCGGAACATCCCCATCTTTCTCCGGGACGTTGCTTTACTCTCACCGGGTTAGCCCATGCAGGCAGGGTCGAAACCCGCCTTCTACATGATCCAAATAGTGTCGATCGGGGTGCAAAAGGTCTACAATTATAAATTCATCTTGAAAATAATGTGAAGGGTTATAGAGATTTTTTATGAATCAACAATTAATAATTAATGATAGATTTCGTTTACTCATGATCTAGTTGTAAATACCTTTTCACGTAAGGCTCCGGTAGGCCATTAATTGCAACAATTTAGGACTGACCTTGATAGACTGATAATGATTCAGTTATCGAGTTTCATTATAATGGAATATTGAAAATAGATAATACTCATCTGGCCCCCACCCTTCTGTTTCCCCACCCTCTCCCTCTCTTTCTCCAGCCCCTCCCCTCTCTTACTCTCTCGCCCCCCCCCCTCCCCCTTCTCTCTCTCTCGCTCTTTCTCCCTCTTTCTCTTACAAAGGCTCATAAATACACTGATGCACTGACACACACACGCACACACACACACACACACACACACACACACACACACACACACACACACACACATACACACACACACACACACTAACAAAACACACACACAAAATACACACACATGTACACACACACTCACACAGGCACCAACAGGCGATCTACTTCTATCCGCATGTCTGTTAGTAATCTTTCAGGCTAAACAATAATTATCAATAGTTTTTTTACCCATACTTCACCTAGCTCCCCCCCCCCCTCATTCTTCTATACGTCTAAATACCTTTACACCACGAAGCAGTGATAAAACAGAATAAATCAATCACTTGAGGAGAGACGTACAGTCGGGTAAAATTTTCTTTTATTCCCTTTCATGTAATTTTGCTAGAAGTTCATAGGTAAATAGGATATACTAAGGGGGAATTTGTTTATTTTTTCTGGAAAATGGGTCTCTGTGGCGTCTATCTTGGATTTTCAAACTCGTTTCTTTGTGCAGAAGAATTTCATAGAAAATTATCTATCTTTAAAGAACAAAGTGAGCCCAAAGTCAGTGTACCCCCAAGAGCCAGTTAACCAAACTTTGGGGCATATGTTACAAAACATTTGAATATTTCCACAAGTTTCCTCTCATAGATCCCCAGACTAGAGCTTAAAGCACTTGTGTGCCAAATCTGAAGCTACTAGCTTTAGTAGTTTTTGAAAACTCCGTGCACCAAGGAGGTCACATATTATGCCAAAAAGGAGATTTTGAGAGAAAACAAAAAGGAATTTTTAAAAGGATTTTTAGTTCGATATGCACTTTTCAAACGCCCTTTTAGGTTGCTTAGGGTGTTTTTTCAACAGTTTCGTCTTTGTGACCCGATAGAACAGATGTCAAAATATGTTTTTCAGTAAAAAAACAACAAAAATCGATATTTTGAAAAAAAAAAAATGTTTTCTCTAGGATCGCCGACCCGGGTCTTCCCTTAATGCAGATCTCCTTTAGTCGTACAGTTCTTCGTATCGTTTCTTGATGTAAAAGACGTAGAAACATATAATTCCCACCTCCAACGCGATGCCGATCAGAAGGCCAGCAATCAACCAACGTTTTACTTCCTGGGATTTTTCCAAAGCCTTAGTGTGCTCCCCTTCTCTCACATATTTGCGTACCTGAAAGAAACGATTCCCATAGAGCTTGTAATAATAATATGCGATGGAATAGACATAAACGAGAATGTGGTATCATGATGATGATGATGACGATGATTTCTTTAATAAGAACAGATCAATGTTATATACATGTATAAGTATATAATACTAATGATGATAATAATAATAATGATAATAACAATAATGATAATATTGCATTTATATAGCTCTCTATCCCATTCTAGTAAGCTCAGACCACTTTGCATCAATCACATGATCATCGAACTATTCACAAAAGGAACAATATTTCATAGAAACTACAAAACCAGTTCAACCACATAAAAACAAACTTTCACAACCATACATTAAGTATATATACACGAAAAGACAGCAGTAAAAACAAAACATATCAGCACTTACTAATACACTATAACTAAGAATAAAACAAATGAGCCTTGAGCAACCGCTTAAACGTATAACATTTTGTTATTTCTCTGAGTTCCTGGGGCAAGGAGTTCCAGATTTTGGGGGCCAAAAAATGAGAAACTTTTCTCACCAAAAGATCGTAATTTCAATCTTGGTGCTCTGAACTTTGTTGCATTTGTTGATGGCCGTAACTAACGGTGTTAAAAGCTCAGATAGATATGATGGGGCTTTATCGTTAAAACATTTATAACAGATAGCAAACATAGAACAAACCCTGAACACATTGTGGCCTAATTTATATTTAAAAAAAAAGAAACAAGAAAAAAGAACACACACACAAAAGCGAAAATACCATCCCACCCAACCAAAACCAAAACAAAACAACATAACCCCCCCAACCCCCCCCCAAACAAACACAAAAACAAACAAAACAAAATAACAAACAATTGTAACAATATGACAACTCACCTCCTTGGACTTGAGGCTGACGACGAAACCTATGGGGCAGCAAAAGAATAACATCACGAAGACTGCTGTGGCGGAGTAGTCTTTCACGTCCCGAGGAGAATTTTGTGGCGTCGGAAAGGTGGAAATACATGTATATTATGTAATATATAATATATACATATATTATAGGCCTACATTTATAATATTATATATGTGTATATTATGTATGTTTGTATGTATGTATGTATACAAACAAGTAAAATGATTTGATACACTAGAAATTGTCTAAGACAGTCATCCATTGTAGAGGAGAAAAGTGATCGTATCGAACATGTAGCTGTCTAACCCAGTGTCATTATAGTGTAAATAAACATACTGCAGAAAATGAGAAGTGGCAGTTTGTACTAGGTCTTTGTCTTATACACGTGGCCGTCAGAGTAGCTTCCACTATACATTGTATATGGCTTAATAAATAGCTAAATTATTGGATAAGGCAAAAAGGATGCAGTAACATATTTGATAAATATATAATTTTAAAACATTATAACATACAACACATAATGGACACATAAGGTTTAAAAACGAAAAAAGTATAAATCAATAATATTGTAATATTAATAAATGTTTCAAAATCCTCGCCCTCCCCTTTTTTTTTAAATTGAAGAAACAAATCCCACAGCCTCGCTCTCAGAAAAAAATAAACAAAAGCAAAAATTAAGAGAACAACGATAAAAAAGTAAACAAACATTAAAAGAATATGTACGAAATTAAAACCCCCCCAACAAAAACAACAAAACAACATAATATTTAAAAAATGAAAAATTAAAACAATAACTATAATCAAACAAAAATAAAACGTAATAATAATTTCTTTAAAGAGAACAATCACCGTTGCCTGAGGTTGAACAACGACAGGAGGAGTCGATGCTGGGTGAGTAGTGCTTCTCTCTTCATGTGAGAGTGAATATTCATTGATGTTTGGAGCGTGTGGGTACAAACCGTACTGCTGAGGATAGTTGTTGCGGGGTCCATTCGGGTGTCTTGGGAACCCTAGCTCCAAAAAGCTAAAAGATATAATTGATATCTGGGGTAATGAAAATTTATTACCGAGAAAAGAAAACACCTCGTAGAACATAGTTTTCCTTTTCGACAAACAGACAGACCTTATAAAATATATATAATATACATATAATATATTATATACATATATATTAATATAAAAAATAT